ATAATAATAATAAAGAGGTGAAGATAAATGAAACTTCACTTTGCAAAGAATACCTAATGATGTGCAAGGAAATTCTTTTTTTTTTTTTTTTAAAAAAAGGATTCTTGCTTGCACATGATTGGATGTTTGAAGTCCGCACAGCTTCACCTTATTCACTTTGCAAAGTGAACATGTTCTCCTCCTTTTGAAAACACCTCATTGGCCCGATTCTCAACACTTAAGGTGTGCTTTGGCGTGCTAAAATGTGATATTAAATTAGAGGCCACTTTAGCATCCTTTCTGTTGCTTGAGGCTTCAAGAATCGGGGCCGTTGTTTCCGTTGTCCCCATATTCATCCTTTTCAAAGTTGCCATTGTGCCTGCTCTACCGTGAACATTAACAGTAATTTGTATACAATCTTCTGTGCCATTGCATGTAAAAAAAACAAATGTGGGACCATGACATGAAATGGTACCAAACAGACTCACCATACTGGATCATCAAGAGCAGAGCGCACACCAGTCCAACACCAATGCGATCCATGTTCCCTGTGCATGAGGATCTGGGTACAGATGTTACCTGGACACCGATCCCTCTAGCAGTGTGCGTGAACTCTATGATTTTTTTTTTACATAAACCCATGAAAACAGGAAACGGATTTACAAGGTGTAATAAAGAGAGCAAACAGACCCATATTTTTTTTTTTATAAGGTGCATATCGTGTTTTTCTCGTTTTGAATATAGAAATAGAGGAGCGAATTACAGGTCAAGGTGGTGAGGGGGTTGGGCGTCTCTTGCGGAGTCTGTAGAAGTCTAGGACGGCAGAAGAAAGGGACCATAGAAAGGAAAATCTGGTTTATGTTCAAGTTTATGTTCAGAAAATGTATTTATATACCTTGTTCTAGACTTGTCTCTAATATAGATGAGAATGTTACTAGGGAGAGTTATATATACAAACACAAACTAGAAGTTCAAATAAAATGTACTTTTCACTGTGTGGTCTTATCCGGGTTGGTGCAGCTTTTTTCCACTTGTGTTTTCTACGTATGTTGGCATCAGGAGAAGGGGGCTGGGGTTTGGTGCCTTTTTTAGAGTGGGCCTTTCAATAGTGTATGAATATGATGCCACCACTCTGCTGCAGGCAAGAGGAAGCATTTCCTTAGTCCCCTACTTCCCAGTGGTCAAACTGTGTATAGAAACTTTGAAGCAAGTTGAGAGGCTGATATAGGTCAGAGTCGACTACAGGTTGAGTACACCGTTTATGAGGCCAGGGCCGGACTTCCCACAAGGCCAACCAAGGCCCCGTCTTGGGGCAGCAGGGGTGTAAAATTCCTATCTCCCGATGCCCGGGACATGCAGTTCCGGGCGGGTAGTTGTTTTCTACATTAAGTCCTGATTTGGGCAAGCAGAGCTAAATGTACCGCGGGGAAGCCACCGCTTGTTTTATACAAGTGGTCTCGGCGATGTTGCTGAGATCACTTATATTCAGCCTGCAGGTCTGCCATTCTTCATGCGGGGGCGGGTGGGGGGCGCATTGAGGAACCTGACCTTGAAGCAGCAGAGAGAGTAAATCCGGCCCTGTATACGTAACATGTAGCCCGGGCTGGTGGCCCCTTTTAGGATGTAGGAGCTGCACAGCTTGGGCGCTATCAAGGCTGCCTCTTTTTTTTCCTTCCCCCTCTAGTGAGAGACCGCTCAAGAAGGGATATACAAGCGTCTTGCTGCACTCCTTACCGTAAAGGATGGTCTGTAGGATCCAGGCGGGTGCTCGCAGTGACCACGGATGGCGCCGTGAAGATATACAAGATTCAAAGGGATGTCACCAGCACACCATGGTAAAGGCAAATCGGCAAAAGTCGATATACTTACACTAACCCTATTGCTATTACATAGGGGGCTAACAAGCACGCTATGTAATAGCAAATAGGGTGTGACAGGTCCGCTTTATGGAGACATCAGGCGTTTTTCAGACCCCTATAATGTCACCTAGGGACCTCAAAGAAGCTGAGGAAGCAGAGATCTGCTTCCGCAGCTTCATCTCCTGGCCGGAGACTGTAACTGGTGACACCGGACACATCACTTCCGGGTCTAGTAATCAGAGGAGAGATCAGTGGCTGGAAGCTGCTGAATCTTGCCGCACGGTACAAACAATCCAGCGGCTGTACAGATGCTTGTTTTCACCACTTCTGCGGGCCGCCATCTATAGATGTATTGCGGCCCAGAAATGGTTAACATGCTAACTGAAACTTGTAGAGTCTGAGAGGTAACTCTTGGGTTTAAATTTCTCTGAGCATTGCACGGCCTGACCTTGAAATTTGCGGGACCCTCCACTGTTGGAAAGAGTGGCAACTGTCTTCAGTGGTTTGCACTTGTGAATAATCTTCCTCACTGTAGAATGATGGACTTTAAATTGGTCCCAGATTGATGGGCAGCCACAAATGCTTCTCTATTGTCACTGCTGATGTCTCGCCTCCTTGGCATTGTGTTAACATACACCTGAACGCTCCAGACCAGCAAACTGCTAAAACTTCGGCTTTTATAGAGGTGGTCACACTTGCCGATGATCAGTTACTCAAGCGCATTTGATTAGCAGCACCTGGCTGCTACTTAGCCCTTATTCACACTGGAAACGGCCGACATGAACAGCTCGATGGTGCGTGCACGGCTGTATCGGGCAGCACCCGGGAAGGACAGGTGCTGCGTGTGATTAGTACGCAGCCCCTGTTCTTCTCTATGGGACTATGCAGCCCCCTACGCTCACCTCAAGTGCAGGTGCGTGTGTCCCGGCTCGGACGCAGACAGGATCTATCCCATTCGCGTACGGACACCCGCACGGACGTGCAGGGCGGGTGAGCATAGGGCGGCATACTACCATAGAGAAGGACAGGTGCTGCATGCTAATCACACGCAGAACCTGTCCGATACAGCCGTGCACGCAGCACGGAGCTGTACGTGTCGGCCGATTACAGTGTGAATGAGCCCTAGGCCTCTTGCTTCTTATGGAGGCAGTGTACTTAGTTTTTCACACATGGCTTCTCCATTTTAGCTTGTTTGTACTAATGACGTGTGTAATATGTCACGTGCTGCTGTGCATCTGAGTTTGTGTTTACCCAATTCTAAGACCTGCAAAGGATCAGATGAATTTCATTTATGGCTTGATATGTAACACCATAGAATTCAGACGGTGTCCTTTTTCACACGTCTGTCTGCACTTCATCTGTGTATGTAGCGGTGTGCCTGGAGTTCAGCTTTAACTCTTCTGTTTTGGTGTCCTACTTCCATATTAGTTCACGTTAATAGCTTTTCCACATAAAGGAATGTGAACGTTTAGCGCTCCTTTGATGTTTTCCTCAATTAACTCTATTAAATAAGGGGGGAAAAAGCTTGCCGTTTGAAAAAGGTCGCCTGCCATCCGCTGCGCTGTGAAGGTGATCACAAACCTTGTGCTCGTAACGTTTGATTCACCTTATGATTGATATCCCGATCAAACCTCAGACAAATCAGCCAGTGTGAGGAGGGGGGGGGGTCCTTGCTGTTCCTTTTTATCAGGCTGAACTAATATCTAAGTGGATGGGAAGGTTGGAACATGTCTGATACGTTTGATGGCGTTTTTAAATGTGTGTTCGAGTGATTGGTAATCAAAATGTGTTTTTAACGACATCAACCGCTTCTTTTCCCTATTGAGCATTCTCTGATTGGAATCCTAGAACTGATCAAAAGTTCAGAATGGAGGAGGGCGCCGCTCACACAACACGCCGGGCCAATCTGTCCCATTCAAACACTTGGCCCTGATTCTCTCATTCATTTTGGCTCAGTTTTCTGGAGGGGGGCTACTTTTGTTCCCCATGGTCCCTGTGTGTGTTGTAAAGTAGTCACCGCTCCAAGCTCGCTTCTGTGATGAACTACAGTCTCAATACAAAATTAGAAAACTAAATATGAGATTGTAGTCCATCCTGGGAGTGAACTTGGAGCGGTGAATACTTTACAACACACACACAGGGACCATGGGGACCAAAAGGAGCCACCCTCCAGAAGGAAGGACAGTGTCACCACTAATTCAGAGATGATTGGAGGATCTATGAGTGATACACAAATAAGATACATTGTTGTTCATAGTTAAGGTACTTGAATGTATTTTTAAGATTTACCTCCGGAGTTTGTCACTTGGGGATACGTGTGATGTGGCCAATGTGTAGGCAGCTTCTGCAATCCAAGAGACCTCCACAGTATCCTTGGCTCGACAGTGAACAGTCAATGTAGGAATTGAAGCGCCGCACCAATTAAAACGTGCAAGTTTATTCCATTAGAGTCTGGGGGACAAGAAGAGTAGCCAGTGTGTTTAGGGGGTGTCAGAGTGTAGTCTTGCCTAGGGAAGCACAAACCTTAATACACCACTGGTCTTGAGTGCAAATTACTTTTCATTATTCTCATATCACTTTCTGTTCACCTCAATGTCCTGTGAGCTGCAAATATATTAGCAGGGGGTTCCCCGACGCCTGAAAGTCATTAAAAAATATAAGTTCAGAAAGACTACTTTAAAAGAATTAATCATTTTCAAAAGGAAAAACACACACAATGATCTGAAGGACGTTTTCTTTGTCATGTCTTCTTTATTGCAACATGAACCCCATTTTCTGACTATTATATCAAAGAAAGGTGACGGATGTTTTTGAATAATTACAGATGAAAAAAAGATAGAAGTGAAACCCGACATTAGAGACGATATTAACCTGTCTGATAATCCTGTTATTAGGACGAGCTCCTGAATACCCAGCAGGCACTTCACTTGAATAGTCGTAGTGTGCTGGGAGTAGTGGGGGATGTCACACATGGCTGAGCTCTCATTGTAACTCTTTCCTAATACGCCGCGTGCTCCGTCTCTCCCCCACCGTGACCCATTATTAAATAATCACAAAAGGAGACTCCGGTCTCCGTGTAGAAAGGAAAAAAAAACAAACATTTATTTATAGACGTAAAATTACAGTGGAGGGGAAGAAAAAAAAAAATTGGCTGATTTCACGTTTTCTCCTCCGCCAGTCTCTGTTGTAAAGGACTGGACGTTGAGGTGTGTACAATCACGGCTGGCAGCGGTCTAGGAAGGCACCGGCAGGTGAATGGGACGGGACGGTCAAGTGGTGGCGTTTCCCTCTTCTGCAGCAAATGCCCAAACTTTCCAAAAACCTGAAACGGCAGAAAATGACAATTAGAACCACGGTTTTGTTTTTGTTTGTCCTGAATGGGAAGGTGCCAAAATCTCAAAGTGACAGGGTCTCTTTAAAGATTGGCCCCACCACTACTACCGCCTCATTCGCAGCTGCTGCAAAATACCCAGTGTTGGAGCTTACATGTGATGAAAGCTGAATACGTCATGCAATGACATCCCCAGATGTGCCCCCCTCCCCCCCCCACATTGTGTACGACACACTGGAACGTGGAGGTACAGGAATGCCCTCTGTTCCAGTGCGATCTAAAAAAAAGCTGCATGCACTGTGTTGTTCAGATCGCACTGCACTGGAACAGAGGGCGTGCCTGTACCACGTGTTCCGGTGCGGCGTGTCTGCGGTGCCATAGACATGAATGGCACCGACGCCCCCAAACACTGCCTGGCATTAGCTTTTGGGGGGGTTTTTTCTCTCCTTATTTTAAACTAGTGATCCTGCCAATAACATACTTCCTGTCCTGCAGTGACAGCGCCGGGGGGCACTGTCCTGGGATCATACTTCCTGGCCTGCAGTGACAGCGCCGGGAGGGCACTGCCCTGGGATCATACTTCCTGTCCTGCAGTGACAGCGCCGGGGGCCACTGTCCTGGGATCGTACTTCCTGGCCTGAAGTGACAGCGCCGGGGGGGGCACTGTCCTGGGATCATACTTCCCGTCCTGCAGTGACAGCGCCGGGGGGCACTGTCCTGGGATCATACTGCCTGTCCTGCAGTGACAGCGCCGGGGGGGACTGTCCTGGGATCATACTGCCTGTCCTGCAGTGACAGCGCCGGGGGGCACTGTCCTGGGATCATACTTCCCGTCCTGCAGTGACAGCGCCGGGGGGCACTGTCCTGGGATCATACT